GTAGCAATAATTTTGGCATGTAGCCCTTTAAGTAAGTACGATTTTCAGCACATGCCGGATGTTGGAAAAAATGCATGAAGTAATATGTATGTGGATACATATGCACATAATAAAAAAAAACTTACATATATCGCACGCTTGCCTTTTGTTTTCACTCTTACAATTTGCCACTGCAGACTTCATTTTGACTTGTAATGTTTCAATAATTGTGTGAAACTACGCACAAATAGTTAAATAGTAAATGTTTAGTTATTTGCCCACTGTTTTTGGGTTAGTGAGCTGAGGGGGAGGGGGAGGGGGCGCCAGTTTTGATATCTAACCCACTAGAAACAGCATAGTTCACACTTTGTAAAAAGTTGCATTTGATCCCTCGAAACCTTCCATATATCCCTGGGGAACCATTGGAAAATGGTCTAAAATTAGCATTTTAACACCGGAAATGTAAACTCGATAAACAGTATTTTTATGCAGAACACCTTTCTATTGTCAAAGGTATGCAACATTTATTGTGCATATAACTCCGGCTACGCCATCCACAGTATATATGCGTAGAACTCACTCCGAAATTCACAAAAAAGTGCACGTTTCAGATCGAATTTATTACTAAATTAGTTACCGCAAAATACAAAATTAGGTTTTACAATAAAGTGTAGACCCTTGACTACAAGTGTGTGTAAAAGTTTTTTGATCGGGTCACCCATTCGGACACAATAGCCCGAAATCATTGGGAAAACAACTAAACCGTACCCAATTAAATCCAGTTAAATTTGGTTTTCCTCAATCAACAACTGCACCAAGATGATGTCACGCACACAGCTGATTCTGTCAAATTCACAAAGAGCGTATTAGCGGTACCACGATGGGCGCAATCTATATTTCTCTCGATCGTGCAGGGAACGGATTTTATGGAAATTGCCTTTTTTCTGCAAAAGAGTAAAAGTATATTCGATTAAGAATATCCACGATTCAGCTTTCCCGGATTCCATATATACACATTTGATGTTGCCTTTTTGAGACATTTGCCATTTTTTGCCTTTCTTTTATTTTAATATTTAAACATAAATGTTCAGATTCGAAAACAGCGATTGTGAAATTTTTGTAAAATTTTTAAGCAAAAATTAATGGTGATTTCGTTTCTCCCAAAAAATGTTGACCTTCCACGGT